TCTTTTTTCTTGGCTTTAATAAAAAAAAAATGCACCACGGTAGGTTCGACACAATATCCTCATCCTATCATTATTGCCAAGTTCTTATACAACCGCCTGACTTGGACCCTTCTTGGGAACCCAGATCCGGAACTATCTTAGGATTACACAATTACTTCTTCCGTGTGTGAGAATCGAACCCATGACTCCCGCCGCCGAAGCCAATAGTTAACATTTTTCTCACAGTAGTTAATAAATAGTAAATCATTTTGTTTTAATTAGGGTAACATAAACATGTTAAGAAGCTGATTTTTTTTAATAGAAATTTCTAACTGTTGGCCTTTAGGAGGCGTGTAGTATATTTATATAAAACTAGCGGACCGGACAGTCGTTGTCCTGTATACACGACTTAAATTGGACAACTTAGGAAGAAAAAAAAAAAAAAAAAATGTAGTGGACCGAATTCAGAATCCAAACCATTCTCGAATCGACCTGAAGGCACACACAATTTCATTAAAACTGTTCCAGCCGCTTAGGAGGAGTTCAATGACATACACACGTACAAAAGAATTATATATATAAAGATTAAAGATGTAGGTAGTACCCCTCATTTTTTGTGCTTTGTTTTCATTTTGATTCAAATGAATTTCGGACTTTGTTTTGCACCCACGTCAAATTTTTACTACTCCCAGGGTTGACTGGAACAGAATGTTTATTAGCGTTAAGTTTGCCCTTTGTTTGTCCTCGTGTTACGCGTGTTAAAATAGGTGCTCATTAAAACCCTTTTCACATATATTTCTATTTTTTTTATTAATATATTTTATCTTTGAAGATTCGCGCGTTTTTTTTCAGCTAATTTAGACCGTATTGAACGTATAGGAACATATAGCTCCTTGCCCAATCTGTAGAACTTTCTGCTGCCGCGACACCAGGAAGACACTGGTAGTTAAATTAATTACGTTGGTTTATACAATATACATGACGTTTAATTTACATTGTAAAGTAATGAAGCATTGATGAAGTGAAATGAAGGATTTTACATTCGATTTACAGGTAACTTAACCAACCCTTCAAGGAAAATGGCCTAATAAACACAAAAGTTTCTCATATAAGGCATGCGTTCGACCCATTAAGGGTTAAACTTGCGTGTTGATTGCTTATGTAAACCCTACAAGCCTCGCCACCAGTGCTAGATGGTATCGTAACGACCATATGCATAGCGATTGCAGACTCCCGACGCTACGCGAACAGTTTAAAGAGTAAAAGAAACGGTTCATTGAAATTGTTCTCGGTTGTAGCAGATGTCCGTGGGCGGCGGTATTCACTTAACATCAGGTGAACCGTCTGCTCGCTTGGCAACTTTTCATATAAAAAAAAAAAAATTAACCGTGCTTGAGGAGATCGGGTGCTGATGCGCTGGGCGATTATGGGTAATTAAGCTCTAGGTCTCCCAAGGGTAGGTGTGGTAGGGCCACGCAGCAGCCTCGGCTGTTGCACGAATGGGCAGGCTCGTCCGGGTAAGTACCAAGACCTCACAGAACCGGCGTCAAGTGGAAGCATAATACTTTCGCGTTTCGTCTGGTGAGTGAGGTATCCGGAGCCGAAGTTTCAAATGGTTGTGAACTCATCTGCAGCCCTCGGGTGTAGCAGATGTCATGGGCGGCGGTATTCACTTAACATCTGGTGAACCGCACATAAAAAATCACACATAGTCAGGCTATTAATTGTGGGTCCTGCTAGAGAACACTATACCCACTAGTAGTGCTAACACACAGCCTATAAGTTCGTCATTGGTTCGTCAACGCCTACGAGCATAACAAAGCAGTACCCACAACCACCGATTAATGTAGTCAACGAACATCAGAGTCGCGAGCCATACTGAACATCAAGGGCCCGTAGTCAAGTCAAGTCAAAGTATCTTTATTCGATATTATAGGCTTAACTTAGCCTCTTATTGAACGTCAACAAAAAACTACCAACGGTTCACTAAACTGGACCTTAACTGAGTCATTTCCACACATCCTTGTCCTCAATGTATTCTTGGACATTATAGTAGTAGGCCCTTGCCATTAGAGTAGCTTTTACAAATTGTTTGAAATTGTTTACTCTTAGTTGTTTGTGGATGTCACGTATTTTATTATAAAAGTTGATGCATCTACCAAGAAACGACTTTCTGGTTTTAGCCAGTCTAACTTCCAGAGTGTCACAACGGCCCCGACGCGATGTGGAATGTTTTTTCGTAAATAGGTGGATATTATTGCGTACATACATGATGTTCTCAAGTATGTAAAGCGACGGGAGCGTTAAAACGTTCATTTTGATCCATCTCAATGATTTCATATTTAGACCATTTATCATAATTTTTCATTGATTTAAGGAGTAGGAAGCTTGGGCGGCTAGTTCAGCCATTTAAGTCCCAAGGTAGGGTTCGTTGAAATGATTGGGATTGCTCAAAAAAGAAACTACGGATGTTTGTTGACATATATAAATATTGAAGGTTATATTTTCTTCTTAGCGTACCGTTGCTTATTAAATAATTAATTTATTATTATTACATAATTTATAATTTATTACATTATAATGAAAAAGTATCCGTTTTGTTCTAGTATTTAGAAAATTAGATACAATAACTATTTAAAAGGACAACCGTCCATTAGAACCTCGCATCTTAGTGTATGAGATTGCTTACAAATAAGAACTTTTCATAACGAGAATTGTCTGCACTTTTAACTTTACTCTATCAATAAAAATATGACAACTGAACAATTTTTTAAATGAGGCAACTGTAAAGAGATAAATGTAGTCCGATAATTATCTCATAATGTGCACTAGCACAAGGATCAATAAAACAATATAAATTACGCGTTCACACATTTAAATATGGTCATTTACAATAATAATACACAGTAACATACATGATCTACAGCTAACTTAAATTATGTACCAGCAGATTATGCAACGTATATTCCATTTATTAAATAATTCAACTGTACCTTAATTGTTTTTGCAATTTTTCCTTTCTTGCTATAGAGTTAACATTCAATGTGATTAATACTTTACTTATTACTTGATATTTAATACTTTACCTATTTACTTGAGAAGGGTCAGCAATGATTGTGCTCTCAGATTTAACCTCTGGTGAAAAGGTGTCATTATTTATACTACATGTACTTTGTAGGGTTCCGTACCCAAAGGGTAACGGGACTCTATTACTAAGACTCCGTTGTCTGTATGTCTATCTGTCCGTCTGTCACCAGGCTGTATCTCATGAACCGTGATAGAGAGTTGATGAAATTTTATTGATGATGTATTTCACAACAACAGATACTAAAAAATAGAATAATATATTATTTAAGTATGAAATCATGCGCAAGTCCGACCCACATTTGCCCGGTTTTTAGTAACAAAAAACAAAACGATCCTTTAAATATCTCTCATTTCATATTTGATTTTGAGGAGTTCCCAGTTGTTTCTCATCAGTCCAAATATAAATGATAGCCAATGTGTTATTCTGATATAAGCTATATTATTGTAAAGTTTCATTAAAATCCATTCAGTACGAGTAGTATTTGCGTGAGAGAGTAACAAACATCCATCCATACCTACAAACTTTCGCCTTTATAATATTAGTAAGGATATCAAAAAGTTGTTATTGGTTGCCATGGCACCGTGAAGTTACGTTACAGCTATGCTACCAACTTCACCATGTCGCTTTTCGGCTGTCATTGTGCGAGCGCATCGTGAAAATTTTACTCGCATACTATTACCAAATGCGTCAATAGAATATAGCTATGGTGTAGCTTCAAAAGGTCCTGCTTTTGAGGTCGTTTTTGACGTCGTCGAGGTGGTTTTTGAGGTTTGAAGCGCGTCTAACGGTTAACTAGACTAGCTTGGGTGGCGTGAGTGATACGCGGCCCTACCCGCTGTGGAGGGCCTCAAACCCGTGGGTTCTGGCCGATTAAGCCTTAATAGTCTAAGGCAAGGATAGGCAACGCGCGGCCCGCGGAACGCTTGCGGCCCCTTAAACATGTTTATGCGGCCCGCCAAGCATTTCTAAAATTGAATTTAATTTATCGAATTTCTCCCATCAATATATTGTTATAAATTAATTATAATAAAATGGTAGTACATACTGAACTGAAATATTTTTTGTTCGTTTTTCTGTTCTTATCTTGTTTGTTTTTACCTTGCATTAAAATTTGTATATGAAATCTTTACTTTTTTTTTATTTTATATTTTTTTTATTCTAATATTTATTATAAATAAAGTTTCGTAAATTATTATGTGCAGCCCGCCAAAAAATTTGAAGTTTAAATTGGCCCATTGATTAAAAAGGGGCTCACCCCTGGTCTAAGGACTGAAATCGTAACATCAGTTATACGAAAACAAACAAAAAAAGATAATTTCTTGTATTTACGCGATTACACATTATGAATGAAACTGCGAAGCCAACAAGCTCCGAGCACCGCGCCTACGTCACAGAGCGAGTACCTGCTGCTCTACCATACGTCAGAGGAGTCACCGACAAGATTGGCTATATCTTAAAGCAAGCTTCAACTAATACATTCTACAAGCCGCTGAAGAAGATTAGTCAGTTTTTACCATCTGTCAAGTGCAATATCCCTCTGCAAGATCCAGGAGTGTACAAACTTGACTGTGAATGTGGGCTCTCTTACATAGGACAAACGAAGAAAGCAATAAAAACAAGCGTGAAAGAACATATAACTGACATAAAACATAATAGATTGAACAAGTCAGCAGTTTGTGCGCACACCTTAAATCGGCCCAACCACTACATCAGGTTCGATAGACCACAGATACTCGCAAAAGAACACCGATTCCTCCCAAGGATGATTCGCGAGGCTATTGAAATTAAAAAACACCCTAATTTCAATGGAGAAGAAGGTTGGGTGCTACCATCAGCTTGGGATTCTATCAAAAATATAAATATATATAAATCAGTAAAATTAGTTTCATTTATAACAAAAAAAAATTAAGTGAGGTCGGTTGTGCGTTTCTTACGCTAGACTAGCTTGGGCTGGTCGCAGTAGAAACGCAAAGGCGACGGAAATCACAGCGACGGCGAATCCAGCCGCGTTGCATCGCGCCCCATTCTCGGGGCCCCTGCGGCGGTGACGGCGCAGCGGTTGCGACCCGTTTGCCGGCCCGTAGTCGCAGTCTATAGTGTTGGTTCGAATCACGTTCGAGTAGTACTGCGCGGAGGCGCGCGGCGTCCTCGTCCGCTCTGCGTCCTCAAAGTCCACTTCGTACAGGCCGAACTTTGCGCTGGAGAAGTGTTCACGATTTGATACGTTGAATTTTCGAAGTCGACTCAGTAAAATGGCGGACTTTCTTAGTGAAAATGGCAAGTTTTAAATAGTTTTTTTTTTCTCAAAAACTATGAGCGACCAGATAATTTCTCTTCCGACTTGTTTGAGGTAACGCATCTGCAACCCTACGGGTGTTGCATATGTCCGTGGATGACGATTATCACTCAACATCAGGTGAACCGCCAGCTCGTCTGCCACCTTCTCACACAACAAAAAAAACACAAACGTACTCTATCACATAGAGAGAGAGAGAGACCACACATCTGTAAGTAAAAATTATGGGCAAACTGTTTACTTAAACATTAGATAGTAACATTAAACATGTAAATATATTATTTTTATGTATAATTAAAGCATCTACAGTCTACAATGGGTTTTTAATTTTATTAAATAAGTACAAATAAAATCGGAATTAAATAAATACAGAGTTATAAAGATCTCAAAATATTATTTATACTTATTTAGACTCATTATGTATAAATTTCTAGAAATCGCCATAGTGGAGTTTTGATTAAATGGACAAATTCGCACCGTGCGTATAATAACGTTCTGTGGTAACAGAACGAATTTGATTTTACCGTCGGAAAGTCTTAATTATTGTCTACGCTTTCGGATGACATTAAATTTTTTTTCGTCTGACTTATAGATATTGAGATTCAGAATAGAACAACGTTCTATCTGATTTGTGCTCCGCAGTACAAGGACATATGTACGTATAGACACTCGTTTTTTTGAATTGACTAGACTTACCAATGTAATAGCCGAGTGTAATATACTGTATTTAGAGTCAATTCACGTTTATTGCAAGGTCACCCATTTTTTATGGTTTTTGCGTCAAAATAAGTGCTACAGGCGTTTACGTCATACATATTTTTTGGAATTTTCCGTTGAAAAACGTTATATAAACGTGTATATATGAAGTTGTGATCAATTTTTGGCATTTTCCGTAGGAATACGTCACTATTACTTCACTTTCTTTCTTTCTTTCTATTACACATGAAACCTGTTATTTCCTAAATTTATATAATTATTTATTCAAAAAGTATACTGTTTGTTAATATACCTAATCATATTACAAACCTCAAAAATTGTAATAGCAACTGCTATGTATAAGAAAACTATAACCAAAATAAAAAAAATAATAATTTCAATCGGCCGTCCTGAACATTACAATTTTGCAGATGTCACGTTGTTCTACGCAGGGTGCGAATTATTGACCTGACTTATTCGGATAGTTAAATTTAGGAAGACAAGCGATATTTTCATTAAGTCACATTAATTTTGGAAGGATAAAATAATATGTCGCTCGCGTCTTTCAGCTAACTTCTCAGTTTTAAATATTGTGAATTTTTAAAGCAACATAATTTAATAAAACTAAACAGGTTTGAAATCTAAGTCATCTTGTAGTTACATTTGCCGTTATAATACACACAGTAAGTGGCTACTGCATGTTACTTATACTATCTCTATGTACCACGAACAAGTACAAATTAACAGTTTCATCGTCATCTGTTTTCCTAACGCATAAAAAATAACGAATAAACTGATAAATAATGTTATTTTTATATAAAGTATGAGGTCAGAACTTTTTTTATTGTATATAAAATTTCTAGCAGACCCGACAGACGTTTTCCTGTATACACGAAACAACTTATAAATAAAAAAAATGTAGTGAACCGAATTGTGAATCTAAACCATTCTAAAATGGACCTGAAGACACCGTTAGGCAGCCGTTTAGGAGGAGTTTAGTGACATACACTCACACAGAAGAATTATATATGTAAAGAATGTATTAGAGGGTAACCAAGAAAATACTCACTCATAGCCTTGTGACCATTCTAAATTGTCCATTAGTGACCAGTAGCTGTAGCCAAAAACTTTTGCGCCGTCCACCCATATAGACAAAAGCAACTGAAAAAGTTTTCCTCTTTAATCTCAGCCATAACTTAATTATTTAATTTAATTATTACAGTCATTTTAGCGATGTTAATTGATATGCTACATAGTTAACATAGCATTTACATCGCTGAAAATTTATTATAATGCAAATGGAACCGTCAAATTAAGTCTCAACGTTATCCTTATTAATATTAGTACCTGGAGGATCGAACTTTGCTCGGTTTGTTTTTTTTTTGGTAAATCGTGTATTTTGGAAATTACATTTAGATATAAATTACTGAGTAATGAAACATGCATAATATTTTACGATCTTACCGACGTAATAATAAGAAAATATGATCTGGTGTTTTTCACAAAAGAAAGAACTTTAAAAAAAAGGGAAAAAAGAACAAAATTATCTGGATGGACAAAATATAAAGAAAGAAATGATCTGGAATCGAAAAAAAAGTAAAAAATAAGTATGTAAATGATCGTGAAACGAACCACGGCCTTCTGTTTCGGGGCCGCCCGATTAAAAGGATAAGATAAACGCGAAAGTTTGTATGTAAGGATGGATGTTTGTTACTCATTCACGCAAATCTACTGAATGGATTTTAGTGAAACTTTACACTAATATAGCTTATATATCAGAATAAGATACAGGCTATAATTTATATATCTGAATGTTACGCCTTCAGCCTATTCTATGCAGACGTAGTCGCCAGCAGCAGCTAGTAATAGCAAGGCGTGCACCTTTATTATTTTACTAGCTGCTGCCCGCGACTACGTCTGCGTAGAAAAGGCTGAAGGCGTAACATTCAGACAGAAAGACAGATATACATAAAATATGTACATAAATTATCCTATGTTTTAGTCTGATGTATAATCTATATTATTGTTAAGTTTCATTAAAATCCATTCAGTAGTATTTGTGTGAAAGAGTAACAAACACCCATCCACACATACAAAATTTGGCCTTTATAATCTTAGTAAGGAAGGATTGTTACCATTTTGAAATAAATTTCTACTCACCTGCTCCAAGTAGTCTCTGATGTACTCTACTCTTTTGATGTCGTTCAGTTCACTCCCGGTGGTCGAATAGCCGTTCTCGGTGATGAGGAATCCCAAATTGCCGTACTTCTTCACCAGCCACGCTATTTGTTTACGAAGCCCCTCGGGATGCACCTGTGGTAAGGAAACTTTTCAACCTACTTCGGAGAAACTTTAGCTAAAAGAAAATATAGCAGCAGCTGGTGAACGCTAATAAAACATTGCCACACTTCCATTCAAGTGGTCGTATTAAATGCGCCGACAAACATAAATGAACTTATTTGTTAGTGCAACTAAGTCTGCATCCCTAGAACAGCCTCGCGGTACGGTTTACAAACCTCGCGCCGTCACGGTATAGTTTTTTGTTAAGTCATTTTGGAGCGACAATAATGCTTCCATGTTTATTTGCATTCTCTGGCAGCAGCGTATAGGCGCATAGTAACAGAAATAAAACACAGATACTTTTCGTTATTTAACGTCTCACCCTGAGTGCAGAGACTAGCGCTAAAAATAAAAAGTAATCTTTACAACCAAGAAACGATTTAGAAAAAAATACCCCGGATTGCAAATTACAGTAGAGTAGGCTAAAGCACCCAACGCGCAGGGTTGCACAGCAAGTTCGGCTGTTGCACGAGTGGGCAGGCACGTCTGGGAGAATTACCACTGGGAGTGGGCCTCACAAAAGGCCGTCCGTGAAGTGGAAGTGTTATTCTTTCACGTATCGCCTGGTGAGTTCTCACTCGTTTTTTCATCGTATTTTCATCATTTAACATCGGGTAAATCGCCTGCCCGTTTCGCTATATTAACATAAAAAAAGCTTTTGTCTCATGTAATAGCTATTAATATGCAAAAGCAGTAGGTTAATTCGTCTTAATAATACATTTTCAAAAACTAAGTAATCTCTCATTTTCGTGTGTGAGAGAAATTAGTAAATATCATTCGTGTAACTTCAGAAGCCCGGGCCCTTTTTTTTTGGGGTGTCGGAAACTTCAAAAGATACCTTGTCACTGTACATGACAGGGTTATGTGGGGTTTTTACCCACTAAAACCCCCTCGGCGGCCAACCACTGTACGTTTGGTCCCCCCAAATCCTCCGGGATCTCCCACCAGTGTTCCTGGGTACTGCGCGCGAGAAGCCTAGGCCCTGCCACGATAATTGTTTCACTTCAAAAGGAGCAATACCGCAACACAGCCGCTTACCGCGAGCACGCTCGTAGCATCGAAGGGCCAGGCAGGGTCCGACTGGAGCACCGCACCGATCTCCTTGGAGCCAGTGTTGAACCAGAACCCTGGGTCCTCGCCGGCTTTGACGGGCCTGATCAGCTTGGTGGTGTATTGGTTCAGTGCGTAGAAGTCGTACGAGCCTGAAGCGAATTGCAACTTTTGGCGTTTGATGATTTGAACTAGGCTGCTCTATCAGATCAGATGGCAACCGGACTTTCGTAAATCTAGTCTACAATTGACATTTAAAAGTAAAGTAAAGTAATAGCCTCTACATTTCTCACTTCGAGCGCCCGGACACTGATCTATCAAATCTCTAATTGTTATTTATCAAACTGTTATGACTGCTTATATTTTTTACCCAAATATTTACCCTTATAGACCCTTATACTGAATGTTTTAACTAACCTCTTATGAGTTTTATCTCTTCTTTGGTGAAAGCTGGCAGCCTTGACGAGTTGAAACCCTGCTTGAGGCTGTACTCAGCCATCGCCTTCTCGATCGATGGGGGCCAGCCGCCCTTCTTGGAGTATATCGGATGGGAGTACCGGCCGGTCTGGAAAATTGTGTTGCAATAATATGGAACGGACTATCAGCATAGTACACAGAGTATAATTGAAAAGAAGTTTAAAAAGTACGCACAGAAGCAACCTTAACTCTAAAAAGAGTTTTCTACCAGCAAACCCCTGACACAAGATTAAAGACAAAATTGTGTGTAAGTGTGTAAAACTAGATGTAGTTATTTTGAAGACACTGCTTCAGAAAGTACCAACGAGTATGTCCAGATTCAGATCCAGGAAGTAACAAATCTCGTAGAAGATCGATGTGAATCAAAAGTATTAACGTTTAGCATTTTATTTGTTGGGTGAAGTACCTTGTAGGCACTTCCAGTGGTTGGTAAGGCATGTGAAACATCTCTGGAAACGTTAGTAAAGTAGAAGAGGACGATCCTCCCTTAAGACGAGTTCATCATCATCATTTCAGCCTGTTTGAGTTCACTGTTGAACATAGGCCTCCCCCATAGACTACCACGAAGTAAGATCCTGAGCCATCTGCATCTATCGACTTCCCGCACATTTGCACGGGTCGTCACTCCACCTAGTGGGAGGTCGTCCTACAATAACCGTTGGAGACGGAAGGTTCTCTAGTGGCAGCCTCGTACTGGCCATCGCAGTGTAGGATGACCCTTTGGAATAATTGTAAACTCTAGAGTCATTTAAAATGCTAAAACAATGTTAGGAAATAAGCAACTTACGCAATGCTCTCGCCCTAACTCAGCCAGAGCTTCGTCTTCAGGGTTCAATGGCTCCAGCCACACCAGATTGTTGGAAATCGACACTTTACCTGAGAAGATAAGAGAAGTTGATTTTGTCTCTTATGTTTGAACAACGTAGGAGTTAAATTAAATAAAAGACATCGAAATCTCTTACTAATACGTAACTAGCCTTATAACTGACTTAAATTTTTTGTTAGCGAATAATTCCTCTGTAGGGTTTAACGTAAACTTTTCTTTCTTTCTTTCTAAATACACAACATCCGACATAAAATGTCCACCACACCATCCACCACACTCTCAACAACCGTTTTGTTCATCAATATTTAAAAGGATATAAATCAGAGTGCATAAGCTGCAAAATAAAGCCAAATTTTGCTGTATGGTCGATGATTAGCAGTTAGCAAAAGTTATCCCTTGAACTGATACAAATTCCATTCAATCAAGCCTCAGTGCTTGTCATGTTGTACTTATGTTAAAAGTAAAGTAACAGCCCATACATGTCCCACTGCTGGGCAAAGGCCTCCTCTATACAGAGGGTATCAGGGCATAGTCCACCACGCGGCCCCACTGCGGATTGGCGGACTTCACATATCTTCGAAATATATATTTTTTTTTGTTATTATTTTGAAAATATGCAGGTTTCCTCACGATGTTTTCCTTCATCGCGGAGCACGTGATAAGTCAGCACTTAAAGTTAAAAAACTTCATTGGTGCCGGCACCGGGGATCGAACTCAGGTTGCTCGATTATATTGAATTAAAGGCGAGCGCCCGGACACTGAGCTATCACGGCTGTACTTAGGTTACTTTTATTTAAATCTTACATAATCACCTGATTTCAGGTAAACTTAAATTTGTAAAATAAATAAATATATTAATAAATTAACAATTTGTCGAAAATAATCTTAATTAATCTAGGTTGAATTTCGCCCGTCATCGAATGAATTTGTATTTTTTCAAACCCGAATAAACTGACTTGTCATTAATCTGGCATTTTTAGGCAACAATCTTTACTCTGTGTATTTGTTTAACAACAGATTGTTAAGTGTTTTACATTGATAGTCTAACCGTTAACAATTAATGAATCTTATTTTTTTTATATTTATATCATTTATGTTGTGTATAAATTTTAGCTTTATGCACTTTTTATCCATACAAACTTGAATATACCAAAGCACATACTTCTCTGCGTCTACGACATTCTTGAAAAGGGACTCGAAGATTCGCTTAGCTTCAAATTGAATCACATTAGTCCCCTTAGGCAAACCCACCTTGCTGCTTCAACCTGAAGTTATTATCGTAGATCCTGTAGGCTTTCGCGTGGGCGATCATCATGTGCTTGTTGCAGAGGTAGGGCCCGAAGATTGGCTCCTTGATCCCAGGCGCTAAGGTCCCCGAGTTGTAGCCTAAGTCGCAGTAGACCAGCGGCTCGTTGATGGTGAGCCATGTCTTCACCCGGTCACCGAAGCTCTCAAACGCGTAGCGCGCGTACTCCGCAAACCAGTCGGTTATTAGGGGATTTGTCCAGCCACCTGCATCACGGATATTAAATTACATTTGTCCATTTTTTAATATATCGGACGAGAAAATAACAGAAACAGTTGCTAGTCTTCCTCTCATCTCTTGGCCCGTCTACTAAGAGATGGGAGGAAGATTTTATAAAAATAGCAAACTTTACAAATTTATCAAAAGAGAAGATAAATCAGAGAGTTACATAACGGATGTCATGGCGGTTTTCTAAACAAAGACGTTGCTTACCAAGGTCCTGAATATTCTGGGGCAGGTCCCAGTGGAACATGGTCACTACGGGTTCTATGCCTTTCTCCAGTAGACCATTGATAAGGTTATTGTAATATTTCTTTCCATCCTCGCTCCTTATGTTCGTGTAGCCAGTTGGGAGGAGCCGCGGCCAGGACAGAGAGAATCTAGAAGAAAATAACCACTCATTTTGAATGGAAACGAATGACAGACCAATGGGGCAAATGAATAGATAAGTAATTTTTCCCATAGAAATGGGCTTCAGCCAGTTGTGATCTCGTCAGAAGGGGACGTCGCGTCAGCCAGTTTCACGGAAATTTTTAATTAGCGAGCATCTGTAGGTGTATGTTTGGATCAATACATAGCACGACAATAACGTAGTCGATGTTGAGAACAAAAAATAAGTTAAAATCTCGCAATGAAATCGATTTAAGATTCTCTAGTAGATTCTCCAATGTTTATTCAAATATTTTGCATGCCAATTTCGTATATTTATTTATCTATTGGAATTAATAAAATGGCAGCTTAGTGAAAAATAAGAAGTTTTATTTTTTTTTCTACACAAAGTAAGTTTTTTCATAAATTTAACGTTGATTTAGTGACAAACGTATGTGTTCGTGTAGTATAAAAATTACCAATAGCATCTAGGTTGAAAGCCTAGTCTGAGGGCACATTCACTATCTAGCAGAAGATTACAAAAGAGAAACTGTTTCGACCGATCTCTTGCAATCATCTCATGGACATTCACTACCACCCATGATGCTGCAGTTGCATAATCAACACTTTAGTGTGTGTCCTTCCCTAGAGGAATAGAATGAGGAGATGCCGCGTGGTTGAAGTAAAATATGTATAATACCAGCAGACCTAACAGTTGTCCGTTGTCCTCTACACACGACTTAAAACTTAAAATAAAATGTGGACCAAATTGTGAATCTAAGCCATTCTCGAATCGACTTCAACACACACAAAAAATTTCATTAAAATCGGTCCAGCCGTTTGGGAGGAGTTCAGTGACATACACACGTACAGTAGAATTATATATATAAAGATAATATAAGTATAAATATATATTGCCACTACCTGTAGAATTGCAACCCCAAGTCGGAAGCCATGTCGATGTCCTGCCTCCACTTGTGGTAGGAGTCCGTGGCGACATCACCGCTAGCATTCATTTTCAAGTATACTGGATCGGTATGCTCGATCCTGTCCCATATGCTCTCGCCTTTGTCTGGAAGAGGTATCTAGAGTTGGAGCAGCTAAGCGAAAGGCTATCACGTATTTAATAGATTCACAAAACCGTTCTTAAAGAATTACAAGTGGCCAGTATGATCTTGTTCTTGATGTAAAACATTTTCTAAATCCCATAACAAACGAACAATCGACTTGATTCATAAGTATTTTTTTTTCTTCAAAGAGATGATGCTTGAGCAAGGAGTCGAAGAATTTTTGATGGTCGCCATGCCCATGAATAGTTACAACAAGGAGATATCATATTTCTGCTTATATATCCACTTAGAAATCAGCTTTTGCGTCCTTGCACCAGGAGAGAAATGGCGTGAGGACCTCGGCTTTTAAGTACCATGGCAGGAGGCCAGCCAACAGGCAAACCGCCTCACCACAGATCCTCCGATAGCCTCGAATATCTCGGATAGCCAACGCACTTTGCGGTTATGGCACAGGCGACGGTAAGAGTTGTTGGGGCGCCGACGTTCGGGAGCGACTGCTCGGGAGACTCCCCGAAACAGCCGCTGCTTTCGCCACTTAGGGAGCGAGACCCTAGAAGTCGGCACAGAAGTCCCGTTGGCGATTTAGGTCTAGGCCGAGATACCTCATCGTAGTTTTTACATCCACACGGACCCAAACAATTGTGTGAAAGACTGCAGTTGGCGCGTTCCGACATCCAAGGAATTATTTATCAATTATTATTGGGTATATTTATTTGTTTTCTCGTCCGGTTGGGTTTATAAATAAAAATGAACATATCCAAATGATTCATAAATACACCACATAAACTGAGTTGATAAACGTGTGTTGGTTTGCCTTTAAATGTAAAAGCCAAACTAATTTTATTTTTTTAAATTAGAAAAATATGTAATACTACACTTAACTCATAAATCCAAAAAAGAACACTATTACTTCGTAATGTCAGTTTTCACTAATAGCGACAGATTCCACTGATTGCTATTTTTTTTAAAGTGAGAAGGATGCAAATCATCTGACGGTTCACCTGATGTTCAGTTAAGACCACCCTTGGACGTAACATATTAAAAACCATCAGGTTACAGATGCATTACCGAAATTTTCACAGCCTGAATATATGCAGAGGTCTTGATACTTCTATCACCACCCTATCCATTCTTGCGCGTTTCGACCATAGTTAAACTTTTCTATTCTCTTATTATATTTACCGCTGGCATTCCACCCCCCTTCAATCTGGTATGCGGAGGTTGAAGCTCCGAATTTGAAACCCTGCGGAAACTTCCTGAAGTCACCACCCCAAGCCGCACTCACCAGTATGCTGTTGAGAAAATGATGACAGAGAGAGGATGAAAAACATCGCAACTTTTATAATAAAACTTTTATAATGCAAAATCACTGTTTCAAATTCAGGGATGGTCTTCAGTAACAAGCACGCCTCACGCATTCGCAAAAATTTAATTTAAATCCGCAAAGTTAAAATACGCTAATTAAGTCTGACTTATTAAATTATTTATTCGACATAAGCCAAAAAGAAAATTAAAAATGAATTTGTTGTTAAAAAGATAAAAATTAATATCCATAGTAAAAGACATTGCCCTCGTAAACTATGTAGATAAAGTCTTCATATGTTCATATCAATCTTCGAGAACGCTCATATATGAACATGCTAACGTCATGTCAAGGAGGGCGTGTATTAATGGACGTCTTTAAGCTATAATTACAGGCTCCGCAATTTGCCCGGAATCTCTTCGCGCCGCAAACCTTATGAAACACCACCGGGTCTAATTGGTGTAATTTAAAATCTTGATTCGTCATTGCGATTTGCCCGAATGCCAGTTTACTTGGGCCAATTTGTGCGATTCGGGTACAGACATATCGATCACCGTATATTTCGTATACACCGAGTAATGGAGGTCAAGATCGACGCCAACACTGAGAATTTCGAATAAACAATATCTTATGAATTATATATCCTGTTTCATTGCCTAAATCTTACATTTATCAATCACGAGCGTAACATTTAAAGGTAACAAGTCCATTTTCAACCGACTTAAAAAAAGGATCAGGTTCTCGAATTCGACTGTATTTTTTTTTTATATTTGTTAGCTCAGAACTTTCGTCTGAGTGAACCGATTTTGATGATTCTTTTTTTATTTGAAAGCTGGTGCTTTTCATGTGGTCTCATATTAATTCTATTCGTATTGGTTCTTGGGCTCCGGAGATGCTTAGGGAACTGCTGAAAGCAATTATAAAATGAATACAAGCGAGATATTTAAAGTCGGTTTTATTTAAATATTTGGTTAATAAAAAAATGGACTTGCTTTAGGACCCAATCTCAGTATAAGCCTGTTCATTAATACAAGAGCAGAAGCTAATACCTGACCAGCAAACCATAAGGGAAAATGGTAAAAAGTCAAACACAACAAGAGGTTCCAATCAAAGCTATTTAACTCAAAGCTTTATACTTGTAACTAATCAAAGACCTCATAAATTATTCTTATTCTCAAATTTAAAGTTTTTTATAGTGCTAATCTCTGCACTAAAGATTGAACATTAAAACATGTAGAAAAAGTACGAAAGATTGTCCCCGCTGTGGGAATCGAACTCGAGACGTGGGTTCGATTCCCACAGCGGCGACAATCTTTTCGTACTTTTTCTACATGTTTTAATATTCTTATTCTCATTAAATTATTTTCTCATTAAGTTAAAAATAAACATCAAAGATTTGACACATTGTAAAAATCACATAATTGTTATTTTTCATTACTCCAGCCGAGTTATTAACGAATCGGTTAAATAGGAACGGACAAAAATACCTGTGCACAGAGCCGATTTCAGTTCTACAGCTATGATTTTTTTTTTAAATTTCAATCTCATTTTATTTAAAACGCCATTGCCTTATCATCATTTCAGGCTGTTTGAACTGAAAATAGGCCTCTTCCACAGACTGCACATACTAATGTTTATAGTTTCGGTTAAAATACTAAGAACACTCGATGTATTTTCAAAACTGTAGGTACCTTAAAATTACTGCATTTGCACAATACTTCGAACGAATCATTGCGTCGTCTGCTATTATTCGACTACACCAATATTTTTAAAGTTCTTTTAATTTTTTGCAACCCACCAGCAACTAACGCTCATCTAAAATTTTTCTTTTTATATCAAGTAGTGCATGTAATAATATAAGGAAGTAACTGGGAAATTTTACAAGAGACCTACCATTTTATTGCTATCTGCGATGTCTGATAGTGTGGTTATTTTACAAGTAAAAGATAGTGAAAGTGTATTTGCAGAGTGGATATTTTTGTGCTATTTTACTGAATATAGGGCTGTCACAACGCTGACAGAAGGTTTATGTTTTAAATTCATATTAAAATTTCTCTCTACTGGTTTAGAAATTTATATGTCAACGGATTTTAATGGTAGTAATTTGTATATTGACAAATTCGATCATGAATTGATATGGTTTCCGTCTGTAATATAAATAAATTTTAAAATTAAAGGTCGACACGTCGTTTTTCCATAGCATGTTATTACAGCTGTCATTAGGGTTGCCACCTGTACCCCTATTTTAGCCAATTGTACTAAATAATGTAGAAAATTAATATAATTACAAAATTTTTCGTTTCTAATTCAATGGTCGCAATTTCTTTATTACCTGAAACTTTTTAAAACTGGAACATTAAAAGGTGGCAATGCAACTGAAACCCTTATTCCTTAACATCAGGTGAACCGCCAGCTCGTTTGACACTCTCTCACGTAAAAAAAATATATCCACAGCGTAGGGTGGGGAACGAAATTAACGGCATTGATATGTTTGTCACAAATGTTAGTTCTTCTAGAAACTAAACGTCTGCTTCCTGCCGTTATGAATTTCTCGTGATTGGTGATTTTCGCTTATGTGTACATGTGTTTACTTAAATGATAAGATGAAAAGCGTCGATGTTTAAACCTATCTCAAGAAGAAAAGTGTAGAAAAAGTAAAAATAAAGATATGTGGCGAGAAGAAAAGAGGTTGAGTATCTATCTATTCTATTAAAAATATATTGTTCATTTATTTTAATGCGGATCAACTAGTTCTGATTGATATGATTACTTTAAAAATAATAAATTGCTGAACAAAGCGAAAATTAATAATAATTGTTAATTAAAACATTAATATAAATGTTATATTAAATAGATGACGAGAATAAATGTGTACTATTTATTTCGTTAAATTTTCTAGAAGTACTATATCTTTCTAAGTAAGAAGAAATAATATAATATTTTTTTCAAAAAAGGTGGCAGCCCTAGCCGTGCTAGCTCAATGTACGGGCGCTCGCCTTTAATTCACTTCGCTCGTGCAACCTGAGTTCGACCCCGGTGCTGACCAATGAAATTATTAATTTATGTGGGGACTTATCACGTACTCAGCGTTCAAGGTAAATATCTTGAGGAAACCCGAATATTTTTGAAATAATAACAGAAAAAAAAATATTTCGTAGATATGTGAAGTCCGCCAATCCGCGGAGTGGTTGCGTGGCGAACTCTGCCCTAATACCCTCTGTACAGAGGTCTCTGCTCAGTAGTGGGACATATATAGGCTGTTACTTGACTTTACTATAATTTTACACTTTATTAAAATTTCAATAGTTCACATGTGTTACGAACCACAATGGTTATGCAATAATAATAATTAATTCCATTTGCGATGCTAATAGGGTTTTTTGGCTCATTTCTTTTTTCTTATGTCTCTTTATTTCAACTGTTCTTGAATCTCGTTCTATAATTAAGGATAAGGATACATATGTAAGAAAATAAAAATGTAATGGAGGTGTGCTGCGGTTTGGAACTAATACGTCCGAACATAAAGGAGTTAAGATATCTTACGTTTTCAGGTAAGGTTATGCAAAGGACTTTCTGGTTTTATTAACACTATACCTAGTGATAAGCGACTAATTGGTAAACGCATTAGATATCAGTAAAAGTC